ATATATTATATTAAGGATTATAAAGCTTATAATTAAAAATCTAAAATTATAATAAGTAAAAAAGTATATTTATTATTTATTTTTTCAAAAAAAAATCTCCAATATATAATTAATTATAATTGTAATATTTTATATTAAGATTATTATTATATTTTTTTAAATTGATAAGTATAATTGTTATCTTGATTTATTGATAAATACCTTATATAAATAGTATATTTACAGCCGAGAACTTATATAAAAAAATTATAAACAAGATATTATTTATAATTAATAAAAAAAAACTTTATTAAATATAAGAGAAATCAGATAACTTTGTTATTTTTTAAAGAAAAAAGACTTTCTTATATATATATTTTTCAAATATAAGTAAATAAAATAAAAATACAGGTTTAAAATAATATATATAATCTTATTGATCATCTAAAGATCACATATATGTAATAAAAAGTAAAATAATAAAGTTAATATTTTATTTTAATTATTCTAATACTTTTATAATTATATATTAATAATTAGAGAAATTAAAAGTAAAACAATATAAACCTATTGATATTTGAAAACCCAAACTATTATAATATCAAATATCTTTTGAAATTGATTATCATATATTATATATTATGTATTAAATATCAACTGAATATATTACATATATTAGATATAATAAAAAATTATAAACTTAAGATATTTTAAAAAGACATAGTTTGAATTATTATATTCTTATAATATTGCTCTTTTCATTGACTTGTTCATACTATTTGTGTAATATACTTTATATTACTTATATTGTTATTAATACTGTTATAATAATATTAGATATAAAAATAATTTAATTGTTTTTATCTAAAATATTAATTATTATATTATATATTTATAATTTTAATTTATTTGCAAATTTAAAAGTATTATTTACTATAATATTAATTTACAGATTCAACTTTTTATAATTTTAATAAAAAATTTACAAAACATATATTTATAAAGTCTATAACAAAAAAAATTTTTTAAATATAAATCTCAATATTATTACTTAAAAAATTTTATTTATTTCAATTTGATTATAAATTTTTGATTATATTAAAATTTTTAGATAATAATTAATTAAGATTTTAAATTAATTATTTTTTAATAACAGAAATATAAACAAAACATATTTCTTTTATATATTCTTTTTTATTTAATATTAAATTCAATAATATAATTAATTAATTAATTTAGAATCAAATAGTTTTAATTAAAATTATAATTTGTAATTAAAATTTTTTTTAATATAACTTGATATTTTATCTCAATATATAAAATATTTGAAAAATATATTAAAAGCTAAATTGATTTCAAAAAAAAAAAAAAAACAACTAATTTTAATTTTAAATTAAAAGTTTATTTATTTATTTTAAAAATAATTAAAAAAAGAAATTAAGAATTAATTATAATTAAATAAAATAATAATTTTAACTTGAAAGAAAAATAATTAATAAAAAAACAATATATTTTTTTTGATTAAAAGTTTTTAAATATAAAATTTTTTCAAAGATTAATAAAAATCTTGAAACAAATTAAATAGCTTAGCTAATTACAGGTAATAAAAAATAATTTAGAAATATTAACTATTAAATTAAATTTTTTAAATGGTTTTTTTGACTATATTTAATTTAGATTTTTGTATCTTTTTCTTAATTTTCCAAATTGTATCATAAAAATATATATACTGACTTCAAAAAATAATAGATCTTAATATGGTAATTCTTTTTTTAAACAAAATTTTTCGTTTTTTTAACTATCTTTAGAGATTTTATTTAATTGTAAATGAAAACTTTAGGCTTAAAAGACTTGTACAATAACTCCAATATATCCTTAATCTTTGGTTTTTCCAATATTTGACAAGTATGTATTGAACCCATAAAAAATTTAAAATTTAAAAAGGAAACAAAATTTTATTAATAATCTTTTAGCATGTTTATTGAAAATAAAAGAAATATTGCTTGTCAAAATTTATTATTTCTTCGGAAAAGTTTAATGGGAAATAACGGATCAAAAATTAGGTCGGATTCAAATCGATCGTAATACCGCGCAATAATTGATTGTTTCTAAGTAATATTTCAGGGACTCCTAAGTTAGTATGTTGCTTTGGCAGTTTATCTACTTTAGGTATATTCTCAATAATTCCTGAAGATGCATCGATCTTGGGGATGACGTGCCAATAGGGGGCATTCTTATCCTTAAGTTTATACACCTAAAATTTTTAAAGTAGTTTGAATGTGATCTTAACACAAAATTTAATCTCAAATTTTCCTTGAATACCCACCATTTGCGCAACTTCTATGTGTTCTATTATATGACGCATTAATTCGGAAGCGGAAACCGTTGACTTACTACCAAAAATGATTAATTTTGATCTTGCACGAGTTATCGCGACATTCAACCTACGGTAGTCTTTCAGGATATCACTAACCTTTTACCAGAATAAAGAAAATTAGATTTTTACTAATGAGAGTTCTCGCTGTTTGAAAATTAAATATGACTCACTTTATAATCGGTATTCGCTTTTACTAATGATATCACTATAACTTCTTTTTCTCTACCCTGAAATCGATCGACCGTGCTTATCTCAATATCAGTCATGTCCTTAAATTTCTGTGTTAAAAGTTTGATTTGATGACGAAATGGGGTAATGATGCCAATTTCTTTCTGATGTACACCCCCAACTACCATGGCCTTGACACATTGCTCGACAAGGGATGCCTCCATGATATTTTGATTCAGTCCACGAGATTCATTGGCTTCAAGATTATCAGTATCAACCATTATTACTGGTTTCTTGGGATCGAGAACTATTCTGAGCCAACATTCCATATTGCAATGATTTTCTTGATCTTTATGAAATCGCGATAAAAAGTCATCATCCCACTTAGGAATTGACAGATGACGACTAGAGCTAGTCGGAGTGCCGCATATCATTTTGTAATCGTAAATAAGACAATTGGATAAGTTCATAATGTCTTCGTTCATTCGATATTGATATCGTAGTTTAGTAAACGCCCGGGTGTGTCTCTCCGTCAAATTTGTAAATAGACTTTTGCTCATCCCCTTTTCTATCGCCTCACGGTTACGCACCAACGGTGGTAACTGAAAGTCATCACCGACCAGGAGAAATCTGTTAGCAAATCGAAGTGGACCCACACAAATCGGGAGTGTCACTTGTGTCGCTTCATCTATAATGCAATAATCAAATCTGCGTTTCGAAAATATATAACTTTGCGCGCATAACGTACACAATTCAAGATGTTAGTAGATAATCACACTAATTTTTAACCGGGATAATATAAGTTTAAATACACACTGATTTATTCCAAGGCATGTAGTTGCAATCACCTGTTTTGATTCGATAAACGACCGGAATGAATTCACACTATCAAATTTTTCTACATCTAGCAGGAACGGCCATATATCGGGTTGAACCTTGGCCTTTGTACCAAGCCTTAACACATCTATACCTTCAATAACTAACTTCGAAAGGATGCTATCTACAGCCGAATGTGTATAAGCTGCAAGTAACACAGATTTTCCGTTTCTTACAAGAGTCTTGATGATTTGAACTATGGTGGTCGATTTTCCGGTTCCTGGCATCCCTAAAATTATTGCGTAATCTTCGGCTGGTTAAGAAAAATATGTATAAAGTTATGATGGGATCGAGTTTTCAAACATAACGGAATTCGATTAATCTTAAATTTGGTCGATGTACCGTCTAATGCGAGCTTGACCGCCTTTCTCTGATCTTCATTTAGATTTTTCATATCTTCATAATCCGACATTATTTCATTTGCGTGATTAAATACTGGTGGTACGAAGTCAACAACTAATTTTCTAAGTCTCGCAGTTTCTTCATCAACAAGAAGGCTCACAAGATTTTGTCGCACAAGTCTCATGTTGGAGGCCAACTCATCCTTGTCAATTCGATACAGTGTTTCATGAATATCAATTTCTAGGTAGCTGCTAAGTGATTCATTTTCTGACAATCCTGCGAAACCGTGACAGGATTCAATTTCGAAGTCTGTCCTACTTTTTGGACCGCTGCGAGGTGTCCGATCTAAAGTTAACCAGATATGATTCGGTGCGATGTTTTCAATAAACCCACTCGCTACTGTACGATGTGCCCGTTCTGATGATACGATTACGTGATCTCCAACGCAGAATTGAGTGTCCAGCACGAAGTTCATTCTACCCATTTGACGCGAGAATTTGCATTTAAAACGCTTGTTTCCTTCTCCATTAGGAATAGCTTCAATACTTTTCGAATCCAAATACATGTTATTGAGGCATAAATCATCATCACACTTAGTGGTCAACATATTCCAAATTTCGGGTTGAAATCGGTACAAATCTTCTTCCTCCAAAGTGATGAGTTCGTCCCATTTCCGGAAGAAATCAAGATGATGCTCTTGCAAATGTGAGACAACATGATCAAATAGATCTCCTATACTACCTTTCCCTGTTCCCTTCTCAATGGCCTTATTATAGAGAAAGCATGAAGTATTCGAGATGCATTTGCCGCATTGAAATTTGTTGTCAATCATTGGCGGCAATGATGAAAATTGAACGTCAGACGCAAACCAAGCCATCTTATTGCGTTGAATTATCAAACTTCTCAGTTCATGAGGAACAACAGGGACTTTAAGCATCTTTCCAGTTTCTTCATCTTGGGATTTTAGATAATATAGTATGCCTGATCCTATGTCAATATTATATTGATCGCCCATCAAGAGGCAGTAGAAGACAGTCTGCGCAAAATGCGAAGATGACACATTTCTAGAAGTTTTTAATTCCAATGGCATTATCAACTTTTTCGAGATTCCGTTTTCAGATAGCTTTACTTCCATAGAAACATCAATTTTTCCTTTGAGACCATAGGTTGTGGAACAAATGT